ATAGACATGCCATTTTGGGAAAATGGAATACAAATAAACCCAGGTCGTGCCAGAAAACACCTCTGTGGATTTCAAATTTAGCCAATTTTACAAAAATAATTAATCTTCCTCAAATTTATTTTTACAAGCTATTTCTTTTTAAAATAGAATAGAATAGAATAGAATAGAATAGAATAGAATAGAATAGAATAGAATAATAACTATTTTCAATTTGAATGTACACTAATCAGCATACATTAAACTGAAATTTCATTGCATACAACTCTCAAAGGGCCACCTCCTCCAATATACACTACATAGGTAAAGGTAAAGGTTCCCCTGCACATGTGTGCTAGTTGTTTCTGGCTCTTTGGGGGGCGGTGCTCATCTCCATTTCAAAGCCGAAGAGTTGTCCAAAGACATCTCCGTGGTCATGTGGATGGCATGACTCAATGCTGAAGGCGCACAGAGCATTGTTACCTTCCCACCACAGTGGTCCCTATTTTTCTACTTGCATTTTTTACGTGCTTTCGAACTGCTAGGTTGGCAGAAGCTGGGAGCTCACCCCGTTACGCAGCACTAGGGATTCAAACTGCTGAACTGCCGACCTTCTGATCGACAAGCTCAGTGTCTTAGCCACTGAGCCACCACATTCCTACATATACTACATAAACATGACAAAATAAATATGAAATTATGTATATACACACATATAATATATGACACAGAGAAACAAAGATATGAATGAAATTCATAAATGAATTTCATAAATGAAATTTAATGAAATTGAAAAGCAACTTTGATTTTTATTTATAGGTCTATTTCTGTCCTTACTTCCCTAAAAGCTACATATTAAGAACATTAGGTGGTATGCTGTATACTGTATAGAGTTTTACATCCATTTTTGGATTGGAGAGGAAGGTTTCGGGAATCTCCAACTGATAAGGGCATTTCTGAATCCCTATAGAAAGCCAAGCTATCTTGGTGATCTTTTTCAGTTCTGCATATTTTGTTCTTTTGAATCTACCTGCCAAGTAGTAAAATGACTTGATTGTATACCATTATTATTTAATTCATACTGAAATGATCATCTTACTTTTACGTAAATATGTGATGAATCACAATAAAATGCTATCCTATTCAAGAGGATTGGAATAAGGTAAAGGCAATGGAAAAAAATAAAGACAGTTTTTCACAAAAGATATGTCTCTTTATTGTTCAAGAAACTGAATTAAAAAAAACCCATACTCAGTCCTATTGCTTTTACATGGCTTCTTTCTTAGCCCCCATGAACTCTCTGAAGTCCCCTATCAAGGACATGACTTGGCTACGGTACTTTTCAGAAGATTTATAACTTAGAAGAAACATACAATGTTTCTTATAAATTACAAATACAACGAGTAAGATTCAAAAGCATAAAAGTTCTGTCAATCTATTTGAACCACAGCAATTTGAAACATCATCTTTTCATCAGTAGTGATGGGATGGGTAAAGAAGAAATCAGTTTGTATCCATTTTTATATATACATTTATCTAGCTAATCTCTCGTTCATATATACTGAAAGTATATATGAACGCTTATATACTGAAATTAACACTTTTCAACATTTTAAATCAGAGTTTGCAACTCAATTTAAAATAGTATTAAAAAGCATATGAGAGCTAATTTGGTGTAGTAGTTAAGGCACTAGATTAGAAACCAGGAGATGGTGAGTTCTAGTCCTGCCTTGGCAGAAAACCAGCTAGATGGCCTTGGCCAGTCATTCTCTCTCAACCCTAGGAAGCAGACGAACTACTTCTGAAGTCTTACCAAGAAAAGTGCCGGAACTTGTCCAGGCAGTTGCCAAGAGTCAAGACTGACTTTTAAAAAATGTATATTCAAAAAGAATATCCAGTAATGGGTAAAATAGGGAAAAATACAGAAAATATATTCTATTCTATAAGGAAAAATATCATGCCCAACACAAAGAAATGCATATAACAATGTTGATATTAGGAGAAATATACTCAAAAATGTGAATTTTCATACAGCTTTCTTATATGATTAATTCATTAATTAATACAAATAGGCTGAAATGAATGTACTATAGAATCAGAAAAATAAGAAATGGACAGAAATTGAAACTGAGAGATTGATTCAAACTTAGTCACCAAATATCATTCATAATCTTGTTCTTTTAGGAGAATAGCCATGTTATTCTATGGCAAACAAAAATCTAAAGGGTAACACTAAAAGCCTAGAAAGATGCTATCAAATTTATTCTGAATCTGCTTATCAGAAATTGATGAAGTTCTGGGTTTTGGTGATTAATTTGTTTATGATGAATAGAAGTACTGTTATCATTCATTCTAATTCAAAACGTCATTGATATTAGGCTTATTATCAGTATTGAAGGAAGTTGAAAGTTACTTTCTTTGAATAGCTTTTGTTCCTTTCTGTTTCCATTCCTGCCTTTTTATCCATTTCTTTTTATTTTTAATGGTTTTTTTATTTTTTGTGTGTGGGCATTTTATACTTTTTAAAAAGTTTTGAGAAGGAAAAATGGATGAAGTTCACCAAATTTACCTGAACTTATAAATGCGGATATAGGTAGCCTTCTTTAAAACATTTTGGATAACTGAAAAAGTAAGATGTAGCTGGAAAAATGATATTGTGTCTCTTTGTACAGTTGCAAGAACTGTAACAACCTTTCCCAATCTGATTTCTTCCAGATGGGTTAGGTCCCTTAGGAGTATATGCTCCAAAATGTCCCAACACTTTTCATAGACAACAGATTAGTGTGAGATGGACTTTAAGAGAGAGAGAGCCTACAACTCCATATATATAATTTTTATGGACTCTGAATTTCAGTATTAGTACCACTATCTTGTTTAGAGAAGATTATTCACAAAGATAAGCAAGAAGTCCTTATTTTAAAGACAAACAGACATCACTAAAGCTGTGAGGATTTCTGCATCCCTCCCAATCTGAAACATTGTTAGGAAAATAGACTGAAATAAAATACATCTTCAGTTAAAATATATTTCCACAAGTGTAACAAAATAGTGTCACATTCATAATTTTGCGCTGCTATGCCTCCAAAGCATTTTAGAGAAATCTGTCAAATACAATCAAACTTGTTTATTTTTCATGTAAACGTAGGACCTAAGGCAATCTTCTTTTTGGGGGGAAAAATGGAAAAAGCACATATTGTCCCTGGCAGTTACTTGGCAGGGTTGTTTTTAAAATACAAGGCGAGAGAAAGCTTAGTTAACACTTCGTTTAAGTGATTTCAGTCCTTTAGCATTTAAACTCTACAAGGACCATTTTGTCTATTTGCTACAAGTAGTGACAGCCCAGCAACCAAACCCAGTTTAACTGGGGATTAGGAAGAGATATGAAATGCACCCAAAAGCGTGTCATATGAAAGCAATTCAAGTCAGGTTATTCCAAACTGCATTTGTGTTCCATAAGTATAAGCTAATAATAATTACGAGGATATGTGGTGTCAGCTTATGGATTTTATAATTTAAGTTTCTCCCAGAATAATTTCCAGTTGAGAAGCTTGTTCTAATGATAAATCTTTCTTGGCAGTTTACAACAGAATCCTAACTACTGCAGCACTGATACAGAATGATGGTTCTGGGAAAGATTCATCTGCCTGCCTCCTTTTTTACACATCTAATTTTAAACTGAGCAATTGCTTGCCCTGATTTCTCTCTGACTCAGTCCATGTTGGAATTGTCTTCTTGACCATCATTTGCAGAACTAGACAAAGCTACTAATACTCTTGAAACTACATAGGAGCTTCATTAAAATAACAATAGATCATTTGATTTCAAACATTTTTCATTATCAATCTGTACATTGCCCTACACCTAATCGCCTTTTCTTATATTGTAAACAAATGAAGCAACCAAAGTGCAAGTATGAAAGATTAGAAAACACGGGATGCAGAAGGTTCATTTTTCATTAATCGTCTTTTTAACAGCCAACCCTGGTTGTCTTATTTTAAAACTGAATTAGTGAATGTAATATGCATGAAATATATACCTGTTATTCTAGATTGTTCAACAAAATAAGTAAATAGATAAATAGATGGAAATACTTTTTAAAATAAGAGAGTTCTCAGTGGTTGAGAAATCATTTAATTTTGTATAATTGACGTCCATTTAGTCCCAAACAATTTATGGAATAAGTATACTCTGGCTTCATTTTTTGTGACCCAGCAGGATATTTTTGTGCAATGCCTAGGAGTCCAGTATACCAAAAGAAGCTCAGGTGATTCATATGCTGGGTATTTAGATTTGCAAACAAATCTATTGGGAATTATGTCAGTAGTGACTGCTGAAGATTTTTAAACATAACAGCATTTAGAAAGGATTGTAATATTTAATCAAATCTGAATTACAACCATCAGGATATCATTGATGCACATAAAATCTGTTATTCCTAAAATGGATCCTCCCACTCAAAAAGATGACATTTATGGGGTTACCAAGACAACAGCAGCTGCAGCACACTCATTCAGAAGTATATCGCCTAGTTCCTTAAGACATGTTATTCCTCCTTCCTTTTTGATGCCATCCTAATGTGTTATTTACCCAATTCATAGTTGAAGAAAGAGTTAGGAGAGGTATAAATAAACCCATTTCCCTGCAATAACTCAGCAGTAAAGTCCAACGAGACTTATTTCCAAAGAAAAACATTGACTCCCAAGTATCCAGATACATGATTGCAAACCCAAGCAAAGGAATCAAGTTTTTCTATTTCTGCAACAAAATTCCCCATCACAAGAGTAAAAAAAGAAAAAAGAGAGAGAAAGCAAACAAAAAAAAGATTCTTATTGGGGAAGGGTTTCAGGTGACTTTAACCATCCTGGGATGTATTACAGAATGGAGGGGAGGGTGGGTGGGTTTAGAGGCTGACATTTAATCGTGTATAAGCTTTGATTGAGGACTCCTATAATATCCAAACTTTCAAGGGCTTCAGTCAGCATTTCATGCTACACGCTAAATTCAAGACCAGATGAAGTTCTTACCTTTGAGATGTTGATGATGGACCCTGTGGAAGCGGTTGGGGTTGCCCCTAGGCATTGCTGGGATACTCGAGAAACTGTTCCCCATGGCACCAAAGGCAGCTAAGGGGATGACAAGAACTGGAAGGCTCTAGGTTTGTTGTGCTGCTCTGGGTGAGAGGAAGGGGGTCATGGAGGGGAGCAAAGGGCTGGTCTCTCCCCTCCCGTCTTCGGACCTTCCTCCTCCTCTCTCTCGATATCCCTTCGGCTTAAGATCCCCTTTGTCTCTCCTTCCTCATAAATGGTGCTAAGTCCACATCTCCTTGGCTGTCATGCATGGGAAACCAACGGCAAGAAGCTGTCTCCCCGTTGGGCTAACAGCCTGGAAGCCTTCTGCGGCGCTCTGCTCTGTATCCCTCGGGGAATTCAGGTGGATTCGAATCCCATCAAATCCTCGCTCCGAGTCCCGCTTCTCTTTCGGCGTCCCTTCTCGCCCCCTCTCCCTTCCCGCTGGCTCCCTCCGTCTACTTTACCTTGCCCAGGCAAAGCAAGAGGAGGGATGTCATCTGGCCCCGCCTTCGCTCAGCCATCAGCTGCAGCTGAAACTTGGCGTCTCCTAATCCTTCGATCAGCCACCCCCCACCCGCCACCTTCCTCCTCCTCCTCCCCCGGCATTTCTTCCTTATCTGGGGTGGGGGAGAGCTGTGGCGCCCCTTTCCAATCTGGTTGTTATGGCGATAGCTGCCTCCTCAGGCTCGGCATTTAAGAGACCGGACGGGTCACGTGGACAACTCCAGATGTGCCACCTCTGGAGTGGGAGGCCGGTCGGAGAGCGGCGCGACCCCTCCTCTCCCCCCTCCTCGCCCCCTCCCCCTTTTTTTTCTTTTCACGGTACCTGGTCCACAGGTACCTGGCCGTACATCCCTCACCGGGCGTGGGGCGGAGACACAGAATCGTTTTGGAGCGAAAACCGCCGGTGAAAGCTCTGCCTCGCCTCGCCTCTCGCTCCAGAGGTGGACGCTGAGGAGAAAAGGGCGGGCGCAGGCTCACCTATTTGGCCAGATGAAAGGGACATATGGGCAGCCGACCCGGTGAATGCGGGCGCCGGAGTGCTGCTGCTGTGAGGGAGGAGTCGGAGAAGAGGGTCGGCGGGGCGAGTAATTTTACACGCGGAAACCGAAATGGTGCCCTAGGCGCGAGTCCCCGAACCGGCAGGTGAACCGATTGCCTAGCGGTGTCATGTTTTCGGTAGTACGGTAGGGGTGAGGAAGAGGGGTGGTCCTGGGCACGTCCCGAAAATATTTCTCTGCTAACCCATTTGTTTCCCCTTAGAGTCGGTTGGATTAAATCAGGAACTGAGATTCTGTGGCCCGCCCACGTGCTCGTTCTCCTAAAAATACTTTTGATACCTTGTGCAAAAGTAGGAGGGAATAATAGTGTTTGGTGGCAAAGTGGATACATCTGTATCCAAAGGTAGGTAGATATAAAATGACACCTATCTGAGACATCTGAGAGCTAGATGCTTTTTTGCAATTGTATACTAAAGGAAGTTGAGGCTCCAGATTTCTGCATAAATACCCTCTAATACAGTGTTTCTCAACCTTGGTAGCTTGAAGATGGGTGGACTTCAACTCCCAGAATCCCCCAGCCAGCAGCGCTGGCTGGGGGATTCTTGGAGTTGAAGTCCACCCATCTTCAAGCTTCCAAGGTTGAGAAACACTGCTGGCTGGGGGATTCTGGGAGTTGAAGTCCACCCATCTTCAAGCTTCCAAGGTTGAGAAACACTGCTCTAATACTTACAGTTACCAAACTGAAAACTCAGTTATTAGGAGAGTCTTATTATCTTAGGAGGTTTTCAACGGTAAATCAATCTGTCAAATCACAGACATTCTTGTGTGGATCTAATTTCACTCACTGAAGTACATTACTGTATATGGGAATTGGAAAGTATGCTAATATTTATCTAAACTGCGTTTTTTGGGGAAGACAGACTTAGAACTTAGAACAACTTTATTGTCACTTTGAATCTACACGAATCAGGATACATTAAAATGAAATTTTCTTGCATACAGCTCTCAAAGGGACTCTCCACCTCTAATATACACTACATAAACATGACATATACTACATAAACATAATCGGGGGGCGGGACTACACATTTTTATTACTGCTTCTATGTCTCAACTTCACACTATATTATTACAATGTATGTTTGCAATTCACTGCATAGTGACATCCCAGATTTTAAAAAAATATTTAAATATTAGGCATTCTGAAAAGGCATGTACTTCACCTTAATACTTAGAATTAGCAGTCAGAAGACACAAGAAGACTACAGTCCAAACTGTTGATAATTCTTCATACGAATCAGATTTCTGTAAGTAGCTGAGAACAGGTGTATTTGCATTTCAGCTTGCTATGAAAATAAATAATTCCAGGTGACTCAACCATTCTTGTGCCAAAGGAAAGTCCTTAGGCCCTCTGGGAATTAGGCAATATCTGCTACATTATGAATATCAGGACCATTACATGTTGTTTTAGCCATTTTCCTAATTTAGATGCATAAGAATTAAAACTTCCATATTTGTCCAGTCAGCAGTCTATGCTCAGTATAAAATTAACTGGGAAGAAGGATGTATATAAGTTTTTTTTTCTTTTCTCCAGTGTTTGTAGCTCTGTTGCATTCCATATAAAGGTTTTTCCTTAACTTATCAATATCTTAACTGTCTCTATCAGGAAATTGAAAACAATGAAGAAAAGGCCAGCCAGAATGTTCAACAGGCTGATCTACAATGTTGGTTTTAAAAAGATAAATAAGGAGATTTAATATACTCACTACACATAGTGTGGGGAAAATATGTGATAATCAGGCTTCACAACAATAAATGTTGGTTCTCAAGAAACTAAGTCCTGCATTCAATAACTAGTTAACAGGAGAAACTTTAATGATGCAAAGTGAATTAATGAAGTCTTCAAGTGCAGACAAGATTGCAAGTCATGCATATTAGATCTGCTAAAACACAACATTGAAGTCATAAGTCTTTTAAGCTTTGTTTTTCACCTGTTTTTTCTCAGCCTTGAAAATATGCAATACCTGCCCAAAATTTGCACAAAAGTTCTGTCTGACCTGAGCACTGCTGATATGAATATAGATATAGATATAATTTTATTGAAAGTTTTTCATAGTTAAAAGGTCAACAAGGAAAAGTACATAAAGAGGAAATAGAAAAAAAAAGGAAAAGTGCTAGAAATAATACAGATGAAAGAAAAAGAAAGAAATGCCACTTCTAGTGACTGCTGGTTCATACTCATGATCATCAGTCTTTAGATTATAAGAGGAAATGAAACAAGCAATTCAAATTAGAAATTACCAGCTTTTAATATACACACGTGGTTTTATTTTTTGCAAAATCACAAATATGAAAGAAGCTGTAAGATAAATTGCACAACTGCTAAATTAATTATATATTTATAATTTACATGTCATTCTTTCTATTGCTTTTAGATAAAAGCTCCAGAATCTGATTGAGTATAAGTTCATTATTTACAATAATGTAAAATTGTGCAGTATCACAATAATTCATTTAGTCGCAGCAGCTATTGGTGAAGAAAACTTTTTAAATATGTAAAAAACATGAAATTTAAACTGTCCAATTATTAAAAATCCAAATGTCTGAATATATAAATTAGCAGTGTCTAAAATCTTTAATTAATATTTGCTTGATATTGTTCCAAATCTACTGATTTTTTTACAATCAATTAAAAAGTAATATTAGGGTGAATATTAATTATTTGGAAGACCATTGATGTAAAGAGTTGGAATACCTCATATTAACAAAAAGTGGATTGTAGAATACTATCTTTCTTTTGATTATACAATAAGATTAATTAATTTTTCTATGTTTGTTGAACATTTCAGAAAATTAAAATGATTGTCAGTTTTATAATCCTTAAAAGTGTAAAGGGATTGAAGGAGGATTTAGGAATATGTTATTGCCCCACAATCATTAGTTTAATATATATTAATAAGGTTTGGGGAAGACTAACGTGGTTTAATGATGTGAATGCCATTTTGAATAATATCGCAAAATTTTCAAATCAATTGTTATGTGAAGAATAATGGGTTTTTTAAACATGGAGCTGGCAAAAGAAATTGCTTCTGTGATGGAAAGGTAGGGCTACCCAGATTTACAATCTTAGATTGATGATATGTGTTTGTTCTCTGCTTACAAAGTGGTTTTTCATCAATATAATGGAAAAATTGATCAATATTGCTCTAGGTGGTCAAGGTTTAACGCTGTGTTTAAAATTAAGCTGTTTATACATGAATAATGTTTTCCTCATTGTCTTTTTTCTTTTAATTTTTTCCTTTGTTTTCTCTATGTTAAAACGAATGTATTTACCGGTTATGATTTATGCAATTGGATGCCTACTAGTTTTAGTTTATGAGAAATAATTTTCAATTTTAGAAACATTATTACTTGGTGTATAATTTTGCAAAGGAATAGCAAAAGAAGTTTCATATCCTAAACATCTACAAAGGCTAGCTGAATATCTTAATATCAATGGATGAAAATTCCATCCATTCTTATCTGAAAGGCATAAGTTGCATTAGAGAACATTGTGAATAACTATTGTTATTATCTAGTTTGTGCATCTTTAGGTGTTGCCCTCTGAATGTGTTGAACATTCAAATTCTCCAAAGTGGTAAATTTTGTACTAATAGATCTTTTGCTACCCATTCATGTTACAGCAACTAAACATTATAACTCTTTGTGTTGGTGGCTCCAGTTGGTTAAGGCTATTCTAGGGGAGAAATAAATCCAGAACTTATTTTTGCATATTTTCTTTCTGCCTAGAACTTTTTTTTATCAGTTACCTCAATCTCTATCGTTTCCCCTTTGTGAAAAGCTGAGAATAGGAAGAAGGCAAAAAAGTAACATGGTCCTTAACTAATTGGAATTATAAGGTATGAAAGTGACATACTGTGATAAACAATTAGACTAGTCATAGCACTCTGCAACAAGCAGGAAGGAAGGAAGGAAGGAAGGAAGGAAGGAAGGAAGGAAGGAAGGAAGGGGTCTAGCTTTACCTACTGCTTATCCCTAACAGGTTCTGTCACAATTCTTATCTATTTTTATCATCTGTAAGAATAATTAGGAGATACAGCAACTCTATTAATTTGCTTGATGGCCCTTGCTTCATTTATCATCAAAGTAAAACATAATGAGACAACCATTTTATAGGGAGGAATATCCTTTGTACAAAATGGGCAGGGAGGCAGTAATTTAAAGTCTCATGACAGTAATTTAAAGTTTCATCCATAAAATAGATTTATTCTAGGTTGCCACAGTCAGGTTGAATCTCCTGATACATCTGCTCCTGCCTGGAGAAATTCTTACCCCTTCTGCTAAGCCCGGCATCCTTCAATCCAATTCTGGAAAAATGGAGAGGAAAGTGCTTCCAATCTTGTTACTCAAGGCTGGAAGTATGAAACTTCACAAAATTTGTGCCAATTCTGAGCCAAAAGTTTTGTTGTTTAACTATGCATAGCTTCACAGGACTTTTCAGAACCATTGGATACAGTAATGTGGGTAAGTGGCCTTTAGTGGTTAATCCAACTAACCATTTTATGCATTTAATAACAACAGACTAGGGATGGAAAATAAGGTAGCAATTGATCTATCTTCTGTTCTACACCAGGAAGGATACAGTTTGGTGAATGGGGACAATGTGCCCAACTTCGACATGGAAGGTTAAAACTCATGGCAGAAGAATGCAATGGTAAATCACTTTGCAATTTAAGAGAAAATTAAATGAAGGAGTAACTCTAATTTCCATCCCTGTCCAACAACCATATCCGGCTGCAAATTGTCTGGCAGGGAAGTGTACCATGGAAAAAAATAGGAGGAGAAGGAAGGATTTACTTTGTATCATTTACTGCTTCCCGGGAATTTCTTTTCCCCCATGTTGTAAGTCCAGACCATTATTTACTTAATATTTTAGTTAAATGAAATCAATGGGAGAAAGGGAAAAACAGTTAAAACCACTGAAAATGTATGACAAAGATGTGTAGAAACTTGGAATCAAAAGTGAAAAACTACTGTTCCTGCCTATCCTATACTGAAATAATAAAATCTTTCTTACTGTGTTGCTATTTCTGTAAATCCTCAACTGAATTTCTTCGGTGTGTCTTGACTAATAATATTAAAAGAATGTGTACAATGTGTTAATGCAGAAATTTCTCCTTATTTTCAAGATCTGCCATGCTAAGTAGTAGAAAGCTCTTCTTTTTTAGTTAAAAGGGGAATAGCAACATTTGATCAAGAGGTTTGGTTTGGTTTTCCAGAATGTTCACCTTCAATCAAGCATTTTCAAGCTGATATAAATAATTACATGATGAAGATATTAATTGTGTTATTCATTTATTCATTCATTCATTTAGTAGATTTATATGGCTGCTCATCTCATGTACATGACTCTGGGATGCTAACAATATTAAAAAGGATAAAAAGTATACATACAGTAGGGAAAATATTTCAAAACATCAATCACCTTCAATATTGCAAGAGCTGGGCTCCATTATGAACCTGGGCCCCCACGTTCAAGCACAGAGCCAAGTCTTAGGGAAGGCCAAGAAGCATGGGCATTGGGCCAATCTAACCTCCAGAGGAAAAATGTTTCAGAGAGTAGACACCATGACAGATGAGGCTCTGTTCCTGGGCGCTACTAGCCAAGACTCCTTAGCAGGTGGGATCTGGAGCATGTCTCTCCTGCCAGATCTTAACAGGATGGGTAGATATCACTGAAAGCAATATATTGATGTTTAACACACACTCATGAAAATAGACCAGTAAGTAGGTCCTGTACATACTGTATAATCTGCACACTAGTTTGCAAAAGGGCAAATCAGCCATTTTCAGTAAAGCATTCTTAGTTAATTTTAAAGTAAAATATTTCCTCATCTTTGCACATTGTCTTCAGCTCATGCCATCCAGTTGTGCTAGTTTACCACTTATCATTCTAAGACAGCATACTGTATATGCAAACTGAGGATAGTATAAGTTGAAATTCAATGAAGGGTAGAATGCAAGAGAACAAGAACTGAGGCAAAAGCCCCATTTTCTTTTTCTTTTCTTGTTTTCTGTTAAATTTCACACAGCAGGCTTTTTATCCTCATGCATATTTCTCTTATTAGAAATCCGAGTTGAAGATTGTGGAGAGCTTTCACATTAGGCCTAAGGCTATGTTTACTAGACTGAGCACTCTTTAAAAATGATTTTGAGGAAAATGTTTCCAAGCACATAAAAGCATAACCACCTCTCAGCTATTCATTAAACAGCCCAACAATTGGGGCTGCTTTAAAGTCACATTATCTTTAGGAGATTGATTCCTTAAAATAGCAGCATTTCTCCTTCACATTCATGCAGAAGCCAAAAGGAAAGGTGGGGTTGCTTTCCTAACTCTGAGAGGTAAGGTCCATCTGATCATGCAGGATCTGATGCCCTTTTTGCTAAAAATTTCAAAGCATGCACCGCCCGATTGTTTACTTCAAGGAAATATATTAGTCAACATTTGGCACAACTGTATGGATGCAGACATGAGAAGAAGAGTAAATATAATTTTTTTAAAATATCACAACTCAATTATTTCTTATTGTAACTTACTAGAAACTCAATCTGGACTATAGGAAAAGAAATGAATATCAACAAAGTCACCCTACTTATTGATTCAGTCAGGCCCAGAAATTCCCTGCCCTCTGAAGAAATTATGCAAGCCCAATAACATTAAATCTCAGCTACTTTTTCCCCCTCCGGTTCATCTTCCTAATTTGTACCCAAAATGTTCCCCTAAAAGCAAATCTTAAAACCAAAATCAGAAAATAAAACACTGCAGAAGAGATAGTGACAGTAAATCAAAGTCATGAAATGTTACGACAAATAACAGAAGTTGTAGCTTGGCACTGAAATGTGTCTAATGCGCTTATTAAATTTGACTATCTGGAAAAATATGTTTAACATAATGAGGAACTCCAGTAGAGAAAAACTTTTAATATTGTTTCTGATGTCAGGGACAGATTGGGAAATAACTCCCTTGGTGACTGTAGGATTTGGCACATTTATCATACCTAACTCACACAGTTCCACTAGATAGGTTCATAAGTAAATGCATTTTTGCAGTTCTCAAATTCAACACACTAAAAGCAATATCAGGTTGAATGCAGGACCCCCCCCCTTCTCCAAGAACAAAGCCTCTTCTGCAAATGGAAATGCTTTTATCCATTTAGAAAAATCGTTTTGCTTAAAAGAACAGAAACCTGTCAATATGCTTCTCTCAGGCTTTGAATCATTTCTCAACACAAGCTCTTGCAGAGGTTTTTAAGATACTATACCTGCTCTATCAGGATTCTGGACAAGGTCACACATAAGGTTGTGATCTGTCATCTATGAGGCTCTCCCGGAGCTCACATGTAGCAGTTTCCAAAGCAAAAGCACCATTTCTTCTTTTTGCAATCCCTGGATCCATTCCATATTACACTTCTTTTTTAAAAAAAAAAAATCAGTATTAGTTGTAGTGGTTCAGTTGTACAAAAACAAATCACTTTATAGTTTTCTCCTTTGATATAATTCCTTGCAGATTCACCTAAGCAGTATAAAGCCACTTTCATTTTTCTATCAGTTTGCCAACATTATCGTATTGAGTCATGAAAAGCAGTCCCTGGGGATGTTCACTGGCAGCATGGTGCTTGTAATCAGCATTTGACTGTGATCTTTATGTTAGGAAGGCTGTCATTCATCATATCCATCAGGATCTGCACATAAAGAAATAGTAAATATTGAGAGGTTATTTTTGAGACTATATCAAAACCACTCCAATCCACAGCAGAATCCGTCTCTGAAGTATTATAGTTAGTGTTACAGTGTTGGAGGAGGAATAAAATATATATTGTGTGAGATTGGAATTTAACTAGATTATTTTATGTATTAACCTGACACCACTTTTAAATTATGTGGTATAGGACTATTTCAAATATCATGCAGAGTTGTGTAACATAAAAAGGGAAATTCAGTTTGAGAAACTCAAAATCTAGAAGACACAGATGGGAAAAAACTAACAAAGAACATTGACATAAAGTCATTTAACTGCATATTGGTCACTAGAACTGTGTAATCCCTTCCTCCAACCTGATAATGTGCTAGGTCTGCCAGTTAGAATTTGCAAATTCAGGAAGTTGCAAGGTCAATTACACCTGGAAAATGTAATATGTATATTTGTTGCTTGTTTAGAGCTATATATCTTCCTTCATTATGCTTTCTGTGTAAACAAGGAAAAGCCAATATTGCAAGCACACCATCCATCTCCATTTTTTCCATATTCAGAATTATTTCTGAAACTTCTTTCCTGCCAGCATGCAGAAGATATAGCATTTGGTACACAACTGCTGGCTCTGTATGGCCTTCAAATGTGGGTTTTTTAGCCATTTCAAAGGCCTTCTGGGACTGTACCTATGAAATTTATCAGCAGTTTCCTGCTGATTTTCAAAAGGAAACCAAAGAAAACCTTCAGTTAAAGAACACTGTCGCATATTTAAAAAATCCTCAAACTTCTCCACCAACTTGGGTGAGACAGTCTTGTTTCCATGTTCCAAATCTGCCAAAAGCAATAATGCATGAAAGTAAAAAGAGTACAAAAAGGCTGTTTAGTGTGGTATAGGGGCTAAAGTGTTGGACTTAGAAGGAGATCAAGTGCTATTCCATTCTTGACCATTGGGATACTTTGAGCCAATCTGTCTGAGCCTAACCTATTTCACAGAGTTATGCTGCCCTAAATTCCAGAATGAGAAGGTGGGACATACATATAGTATATAGATAAGGTAAAGAACTTAACAAGAGCCACTTTGGTGCAACAGTAAAAACACCAATTTAAAAACGAAGAGAACACGAGTTCTCTAGTCCCGGTTTAGGCACAAAGCCAGCTGGATGACCTTGGGCCAATCATTCTGTGGAAGGAGGCATTGGAAAGTCATTTCTCAAACCTTGCCAAGAAAACTGCAGGGACTTATCCAGGTAATTGCCAAGAATCAATACTGACTTGAAGGCATACAGACTGAGGTACAAAAATCTTAATTAAATATGTAGGTAATTTAATGGAGAAATTGAGGCAAAGATAAGTAACATCAGGTCAGATTGGTAAAACTTTCACATCCTTTTATTAGGTTTGTTCTTAAATATATTATAGGAGGAGAGCCATGGTAGTCAATAGTAGTGAAAAATCAGAATCAGTCTAGTATCATCTTTTCAAACTTATACATTTTATTAAAAGGGATAAGTTTTAATGAGCTAAATTCATTTCATCATGGAACTCCGTGCATCTCAGAAAGTACAATGCAGCTCACAAGTGCTTATGCCTTTAAATAAAATGTGTTAGTCTGAAAAGATGCTATCAAACTGTTTCTAAGTCTTAAATTCAGTTAGCTTATTCTTCACTTATTCCTCATTACAGAAGTGCAATGAAATGAAAAACACTTTGCTGAACTAAAAATAAAAAAGGACCACCTTTCTCCTTCATACAATTATCAGGCCAGCTTTGCTAGAGATCAGCAATTTTCTTCTGGAGTTTATCATTTACATGTCATTGTACCCCAGCCTCACTCCTATACTGTAGTTTATTAAGCTAATAGCATTCTTTGAAAATTTCCACTTCAGTGAATGCTCAGTGAGCCTTTAGTAACTGCATGGCCAGCAAAAGTGTTAAAGCTTCATGCCAGTTGGTTAAAAGAAGAATAACTGCAGGAAAAAAACTAGAATATTTTTCCTCTCCCTTTAGCATGGTCCATCTCAATTCAACAGTATCTCAAGAACTCTCTGAAAAGATTAAGGATTGAGATTTAAAAACATCAAGACTTGTAATAAGGTTGTGGCTTTCTGTGAGTAGTGAAAATGCAACTATTGTACCTACAAAATCTGATTATTTAACAGTAGGTTAAAACATCTGAAGTAGCATTCTTTATAAAAGAAATAATCCTCAGGTTCCTCAATAGCTGGACACTGCACCATTTGCACAGCTGCATGATTCAGCCTTGGCTTCCTTCAACTGGCTTGTCTGCTCTCTCATGACTACACACACACAACAGCACAACCTAAACATGAGTCTATACTCACATACACAAATAATAAATTATCTCTTTAAAACAACTATTTCTATAATACAAACTTACCAAGCTTTAGGAGAAAACAGTGGATTAAACAAATAGGATTGCTACCATTTTCAGAGGATAATATTCTTTTGAACTATATACCTAGTACTGTACATGGAATCTGACAATCAAACAATGTAAATGGATTATCTGGCTAAAAAGCTGATATTGCAGCCTTGGGAAGATAAATGTACAGCTCCATTTATTGACTGAAGACTGACTGTACTTGCCACTTATAATCAGGTTGTTCATGAACACAGATTTTGTGTGGTTAAGTAAAAGCAAGTATGGGTCTCATTTATACAGAAAACAGTAGATTAAAATGTATCTATATAAATGTATTATAAATATATATATACTTGAATCATATTTGCATTTGATAAATATATATATACAGAATTGTAACTGTTTATTGTTCTAATGATGTATTAGGGTTTTTTCTTAGTTACATTTCTTTCACTTTTTTGTTAAAGCACTTTTATGTGTTCTTTTTTCTTTTCTTTGACAACGTATGTATCACATTACTATTACCTTTTTTGTTTTGATTTATTTCTACTTTTTGTTATTAAGCAAAAAGCAATAAAAATAAATTTTAAAAAACTGAGGAATGCCAGGAATATAGACACAGAGACTCAGACACCAAGGCAGAAATAATCTGAGAAAGAATGATATGATTGTGTAGTTGTCTTCTAAATGAGCCCATTACAAATTTTCTGTTGATTCTGCTGGCAGGATTTTCATAGTTCTATTACTTCTGAGGGCACTGTTTTGCCTATACCAATGCTATTATTTGTACTCTATGGGATATTCTGTCAAATTGCCTTGGAATCTATCAGTTTCCCTTTTTAGACTGTGGTTAAATCACAGACATAGCTGAACTGTAGGTTGTGAAGTGGAAGGAAGCATTCTTGATCCTCCCCCGTGCACCTTGACATTAAAATATTTCTGAAGAGGATCTACTGGTCTTTTGGAAAATCAATAAGACCATTTCTCAGAATAGTCAATTGACAGTCAATGGGCTAAAGGATGTGTCCGGGATGAACTAGGACCGGATAGATGGAGTTCTTTCAATGCATTATATGACATTCCTTCCATTTTGCCATGGATTCCACTTCTAACATACTGACCTGTCTCTTGGACTATTTCTGAACATGCATTTACTTATTTTTCTGATCAGGAAATCCTGTTCAGAAATAGCACAATAGACAGGTTAATGATCTCATGCATGACACAAGCAAGTTGAAAAGTGGTAAATCTTCTGTTCTAGCATCAACCCATCCTTGCCCAAGTCCATTACACCACACACTAAGGACAGCAATTGCTAATGTTTTCTCCCACCAGAAAGTAATGCTCAATGGGAGGGGAAATTCAAGAAATCCACCAATCACTACCTTTAAATTGTCCTGCAGTGATTTGGAAAGAAAAGAAGTATTTATGAGCCTCAGTGCAGAGTCAGATAGAACTGGCCAGAATAGCGGGTGGAGGTTGTGCTGTTGAAATCTGGAAAGGGACAGACCGAGGAAGCTGCCGTAGGTTAAAATCAGGAGAACTTAAAACAAAAATATTTCTCAGATAAAAATTGGGAGACTAATAAAAAGAGTCAATACTAATAAAAAGAGTCAATCTCCCATCAAGGATCATTGCTTGAGCCCTTGATCCATAAAAATCAAATAGATCTAAAAGGCACAAGACCAGGGTTTGGGGCATCATTTTGAGAACACAAATTTGCCCCTATTTGCCCCACAAATAGGGGCATTTCCTCTATGTGCATTAGAGGAAAAAAAGCAATGATTTCACTCTACCAGAAAATTAATTTTGAGAACTGTAAGTGAAAAGTTAAAACTCATGAAATGACAACTATAACAATTTATAGGATTAATTCTAAATTAACCAATAAATTAAAAAACAGAACCTTGCTGAAAAGGCTAGTAATACAGGTTGGACACTGCCTCCTTGTGGTCAGAATTAGTGCAGAAACATAAATAATTGTTCCTGCTGGCAATACAGATATTAACTTACCTTATTTCTGTTTACATCCAATCTTTAAGAGAAACTCAGAAGGTTAGATACTTCATTAATCATTTTCTATAGATATGTTTGTATATGCATAATTGCAGGTTTGAAATTTGAGAGGCAGATAATCACGCAATAGTTCCCAAAGAAAAGGCAACAGCTGATTTTCTAAAGATATTTTGTAGCACAGATCTGAAGAATCTTCTGGAAAAGGTTCTTTAGCTAAAATTTATTTTACTATATAAAATATAAAAAGAAAACAAAATCCAGAAAACAAAAATCCAGGCAGCTATTAAAAGGAAGCAAAAAAGATGCATATTCAACTTTGAAAATAACTTTTTCAGAAGTTTACTGGGCAAGGCTTGTACAATATGTGGGCCTCCATCTAGTGCTCTTAAGTCTTGGAAAGAGAATGGAGGGAACAGAAATATAAGACTGTTTCTAGAGCTACATCAGGAGTAGGAATCCTATAATCCTCTGGATATTAGGATGTGTAATTCTCCTCAGTCTCAACTAGTATAGACTGGTTATGGTAGATGTTAGGAAAAACAGTCCAGCAACATTGAAGGGGCACAGAATTCCCATTTCTGTATTTAAACTTGTATTTTGTTTTCCCTGTATTCTGTTTTATACAGTTGAAAAGCACTTTCTTACACTGTCCAATGTGCCCCAATCCCCCAATCCATAGCATTGCCTTATAGGTTTGTTTCTGCAATGAAACAAGAAAAATTGTCTACTCAGTTTTAAAAAGTGAAATGGTGAGAGCAGGAGGCAAATGGAGATGAGAGCCCTTGCCAAGGATGCAGCCATAGTGTTAATGCTGCAGAATCCTCCAGCATCTTCTCTGAGAAGAACAGGGAGGAGTTTTGTAAACAAACTCCCTTATTTGATTATCTTGCTTCCTCATTATGCACAGGGACCATGGGGAAAAAGGAAATAAGGAAGAGCTCTGATCATTTAAACACTCTTTACAGTGCACCAGCTACAGGTCCTGCAAATCCTGCATTGTACTGCAGGTTCAGTACAATTTTCTGTAATTTTCTCCCTTTTCTTTAAAAGGAGATAGTGGAGAGAAGTCTTTTTTAAGGATCCAGCAACACACAGATAAAGAACTTTGCTAATGAGGACTGATTAAGAAAGCTTCTAAATACAACGGCAAGAAGGGCACAACAAAATGTTATATTAATGAAAATGATATTTCAGGACAACTAAAAAGGCCATCTGTGAAAATCTGACTACTCTACTGTGTTCTTCTTGACCATTGTCCTACTAACTTAAGAGCTTATAGAGCTCAGTGCTGAAGAGGACTGTCAGGAAAACAGAACTTGCCAGTGCTGAAATCCTTTGATACTATTTCAGCCCTTCCTTCTTCAAGGAAATATCCTGAACAGCATGGATCGATTCCAGATGGTCTTTCAGTACTTCCAGTCTAATTCAGAATCAGTGACAAATGGGATCTGTTGCCTATTAGCATTGGCAAGTGTGAAGATTTACACCATCTTTGATTTCAATTGCCCTTGCCTTGTTAAATACAACATGGCATATGGCTTGGGAATAATGTTTATCCCACCAGTAGCACTTTTTCTCTGTGGGCTCATTGTCAACAAGCAATTTGTTATGATGCTTGAGGAGTGGAGGAGACCAACTGGAGATAGAAGGAAGAATCCATCCATTATCAGGTGGGAGATTCCAGTTATTTTTATTGCAAGAATCCAATTACTTAAATAATGTGTTTATCTTAAAAATGCAAAGTACTTAGATAATTCAATTTCCAGCATCTTCTTTCTCTGCCATAGTTTTCCTGGCACTTTAGTTCCTGAAATATTATATTATATATTCCAGGAAATAAAATTCCTTATATGTTTTTAAAATTAAACATATTTGGCTGGGATGTTTTATATCAGGGCTGCAAGATTTTAAGAATTTTACTTTGCCTTATTTTTTTGTATAACTAAACTCCTCCTTTGGCATTTGTTTATACAGCAAGACATTTATATACTTAATCTGTAAAATAATATTTGGGTAAACCATTATTTTATCATTCTTCTGGAAATTCTTTCTTTCTTCTCGAAAATATGTTATGCCAAATAAATAAAATATTCTATAACTTATCATTTCTATTTGTTTTTTCTTCTGTTTGGTCTCTGTATACCTTCTTGTTTATTTCTGTTACATGTTTCCACTTTCTACAAAGATAATGTGGTAAGTCTTTATAGAAGCATTGCACAGAAATATACATAGCAAAATAGATTAATGCAGGCAAAACATTCAATGTTAACTTGCATATCATTCCTTTCTTGATGATAACCCTCTTTGAGTCTATCACTTATCTTGTAAAGAAATGTTCTCTTCAGTTTATGGTATAACAGATAAATCTGTTCCTATCTGTCCAACACACAGGTACATGTGTTCTTCTGTTATGCAACGGGCTATGATAGCACCCACCATTTGGATCCTAGTTAGCCTCCTTGATGGGAAATGTTTTGTCTGTGCCTTCAGCAATTCCATTGATCCTGAGAAATTTCCAGGTTTTGCTGCCAACATCACCACCTATGATGCCTTACAACACTTCCTTGCCAAAATCCCATGTAAACATGATGAGTTGATGAGGAATAACACTTCCCGCAAGGCAGTGTCCAGGTATCTCAAATGCTGTTCACAAGTAAGTAATGGGCATCTATTGGCATTTGGTCCTGTGAGAAATACTTTTCCAATCCAGCACCCAATAAATGCATTGGGTCACAAATCATTCCTAGACTTCCTGCCAAATGGGGATTAAAAAAAAACTGTATAAAATACCTTGGAATAAGTTACTTACTGCAGTTTATAAATAAAAACTATATATAAAATTAAGTTTTCAAAAGAGTCAAATTCAATTGTCTCTATTAACTGCACCAGATTTTCTAAACATACTGGAGTTACGACTCCCAGATTTCCCACTGGAAACCTGGATATTCTAATAGTTGTAATATATTCTAATTCTAATAGTTGTGTTGTACCTTATGATTCTTGATGAGCGTATCTTTTCTTTTATGTGCATGAGACCATATGCACCAAGACAAATTCCTTGTATGTCCAATCACACTTGGCCAATAAAAAATTCTATTCTATTCTAACTCCATTGTAATTTCATCAGGTTCAGAAGGATGTTCTATACAATTGTACCACCTCGCTTCTACTCTGCACTTCCCTTTTTTCTTTTTTTGCCAGGATTTCTTCCTGACAAAAATGTGATTTCTCCTCAAGATTGATACAAACAAAGTTGTATTATTACGGTATGGATTCATTGACCCTGGGAACTGGTGTGAAACTTGAAGTTGCATAGGGATGTAGAGCCAACCTAGGGTTGGGTTTCACCTTGTTGTAAATCCAAGGGCTCTTGATCTGTTTGTCATTTTCTTCCAGGCTTTTGGTTGGAGTCTTCTTTTAATCCTCATCGTGATGGCCTTGCTTGCTCGTTCTCTCAAGCCCTGCTTCAATCATGCCGCCTTTTTGCAAACCCGCTACTGGAGCAATTACATTGACCTTGAAGAAAAAATATTTGAAGAGACCTGTTGCGAAAAAACACGTGACTTTGCACACAAGTGTATCCTCCATTTCTTTGAGAGCATGCAGACAGAAATCAAACTCAGGAGGTTTAATGCCTACACAGAAGAAAAGGGAGCAAAAGCAAAGGAAAATATTCATTTGAGTGGCATCACTAGCCAGGAGCAAATAAGCAAATTTCTTTTGTCCTGGTACAATAGGAAACCTCCACTGGATTTAAGCCAAGCATACAGGCAAAGAGATTATACCTTTGCATTGGACAGGCAGCACATTTAACAGGTGCCATCCTCAGCCAAACAAACAGATGTTTAAAAGAAAGTTGAAACGGGTTTATCACACTTAGAAAATTCCTATGTCACATGGCTCCCCACAGCAACAGGGTTCTACTGCCTTGATCTGCAAGACTAAGCAGCTGAGCTTTCCCAAAAAGCAACTGGAATTATTTAAAGAATTGAATTTATTTTATCAAGTTTACCACTTTTGTTTCTACATTGTCCATAGATCATCAGACAGAACATAACATGGTTCAGAGTATATTGTTTCCCAGAACAAGACTGGCTTACACATAACTCAGAGGCACAATTTTTAAAATCATGGTATACTGCAGTCCCAACTACCTGGGTTTATCCACTGTCCTAAGCAATAATCCAATAATGGACAAAAGCAAACAGCTTAGTGCAATGCAGAAACCCAACCGTGGTGAATTATAATCTGGTTCATCAACCAGAATTCAAAGACTCTTGAAGCAAGCAAGTGTGGTAGAGTTGTACTGATGTGATAGAATTGCTTGTAAAGGCACCAGACAGAATCTGTTTGTTTGTTTGTTTGTTTCAATTGATAGTCTTATCCAACAGAGAAATAAATACAGAAAGCAAATTTTGTTATTAGAAAAACAGTTGTAATTGTTAGTAAATAATGAAAGCATGCAGTAAAAAAGAAACAAATCTTTTGAGATAAGATGTGGTGGTGCAGTGATTAGTATGCAATATTGCAGGCTAATTCTGCTGACTGTCAGGGGTTCGATCCTCACCAGGCTCAAGGTTGATTCAGCCTTCCATCCTTCTGAGGTTGGTAAAATGAGGAGCCAGATTGTTGGGGGCAATAGGCTGACTGAAGAGAGTGCTGTAAAGCACCGTGAAGCAATAAATAAGTCTAAGCGCTATTGCTATATAGGACTGTCTCTATATGAATTTTGTTTATCTTTTACTTTAAAGAATCATTTCTCATTTAAACTAGAGTGAAAGGTAAGAGAACCATGCATATCTTTACCTAAAGTAGGCAACCTGGAACCTTACAATAACTGATAGAACTAAATTGTAAGGTTGCTTTATGCTGTTAATAGAAAATTGTTTTGTAATAACATGCTTATTTTTTAGTAATCTTTAACTTGCATTTTTGATTATTTGATTATTATTAAAGTGCTGTATTTTTGCTGAACTAATCTGTGTATCTACTTCCTCTGGTTATCTATGCCATCATTGTTTTTCTGAGTCTGTTTTAGTTAATAAGCCATTTGGCCTAGCAGGCTGCTCATAGTAGCAAAGCTGCGTTTATTTCCATGTTACTTGGCACCAAATAAATAAATATACATTAGCACTTTCTGTTGTAAAGATGCATATATTGTGTTACTCAAGTCTGTCCTGAGCTATTTTGCTTCACTAAATGGTACTTTTTGAAAAAGAGCTTTTATTGCTTTACATTTTTAAGGTCTGAACCAAGTATAATAATAATAACTTTATAATAATAACTTTATTGTAATTGTATGTGTATACACAGTATACCCATACAACAAAATTCACTTAACACCCAAAGACCAGGTCCAACACACATAACAATCCCCAAACACACTCCCACCCACCACAATTCCCCATCCCTAAACCACCCAAACATCCACACAACAGACCAAGTAATGCTGTCCAACAGCTCACTGATGGTGGCCCTTTAGTTCATTGTTGAGTGCAATTATAGCTCTGGGATAAAAACTATTCAGAAAATGTGTGGTCCGAGTTTTAATTGTTCTGTATCTTCTGCCAGAAGGCAACAGTCCAAAAAGATTGTAAGCAGGATGGGAAGAGACTCTGAGAATGTTATGCAACTTCCTCAAACAGTGAGATTCGAAGAGGTCGTCCAGGGCTGGTAGCTGGAGCCCGATGATATTCTGGGCAGTTTTAATGATTCTCTGTAGAGCTTTTTTGTCCGCTACAGAGCTGCTCCCATACCATGTAAGAATGCCGTATGTCAGGACACTCTCAATGGTGCTGCGATAGTAGGACAGAAGTAGATGCTGAGATAGATTTATCTTCCTGAGCATTCTCAGGAAGTACAGCTTCTTCTGTGTCTTCTTCACAAGCATGTTAACATTCATAGTCCATGAGAGGTCCTTCGAGATATAAATGCCCAGAAATTTAAAACTACCAACCCTCTCCACCTCCTCATCATACTCTTCAACTGCTTTGAAACTTATCAAATTTGGTACTCAACACATTTTGACACTCAGGATTAGGCAAACTCAATCGGCCCATTCAAAATTTTAATTCTGAAGGTCTCTAATAGCTTAGAAATAGTTAATGAGAAGTTTTCCCAAAGTGATTTGAAAGTGAGGTTTGCAAAGTTAGTATTCTTTAAAAGTCCCCACCATGGTTGAGCAGTTAAGACACTGGGCTTATTGGCTGAAACCCAACAGCCTCAGTTACGAACTGAGACAAACATCCTGTGATAGAGTGACCTCTTGCCCTTGCACTAGCTCCTGCCAACCTAGCAGTTCTAAAGCATGCAAATGCAAGTAGATAGATAGGTACCATTTCAATAGGAAAGTAACTGGCCTCATGATCATGGAAATGTCTTTAGACAGCACTGGTTTAATGGCACTTGAAATGGAGGTGCAAGATAATTCTCATTTAATCACAGGTTGATGCATTGTACCTTGAATAATTGTCATTTGCAGGTGAAGGTTTTCCATATAATTTTGCAGCCATCTACTAGTTGTCAGGATTTTTGGAACCTAGATATGTAGCTCTATTATTCTTGACATTAATTTGCAAGGACAGATGATAGAAACTTCTATTTCCATTAGCTCTTGGAAACTATCCAGGTTATGGTTTACTATGACATTCAATAAACCACAACTAAACCAATAAGGGTTTTGCATAATGTGCAAATTTAGCTAAAATAGGGATGCCTGTATTTATTTTTTGACTATTGTCGGAACAGATTTTGCATTATTCATCTTGTTGCCAACTAGGGTACATATTCTCCCATCATTTAGTACACAAATATTCAGAATTAAAAGAAGTTAAACAAGCTATAAATATTTTTAAAACTTGCTTTAAAGAGCCTGAATCAAACATACATTTTCTCTTGGGACCAAGTTCATCATATCTTCTTAGTAGGTCAGCAATGAATGAAAGCATTTTTAACTACAGCTATCCCAATCTATTCAGCTCAATAGCTTACTATACATCTTGGGATTGTTCTAATTTAATTACATTCACATAGTGAATACAGATTTATGAACCTGAACTTCCATATTTACTAAGAGCTTTAATCAAATTGGCTATGTCCTAAAATAAGCTGAGGATAAACAAGCCCCAGAGATCAATTGTATTTGCATACTGATTTCCCTGAAAGGGTATTTTTACATTCTTACAGACATTGCAGAATATTTTTTTAATGGAAATATACTGAGTCTGGTTTCTGATAGTGACACTGTTATTGCTGGACTTAACAAATCATTGTTCCTCTGAAAATATTATTAATGCTTCAGTAGTAGCATTCCAAGAGGCTGAAATGTGGAAAATTAACTCAATCTTTCACTCTAAACTGAAACCAGATACTAGGAAACCTGAACCCTGGGCAAACAAACAGGAGCTGGAAAGTTTCCCTTTCTATCAAATGAACTTTTAAAGGGAAGGGGACCTTGTTTTGTCTTTGTTCTTCCATAATAACAGGGTATCTAGTTTCCTAGCCTGGTTCCTATCAGGTAAGAAAAGCATCTTAACCTGGAGAAGGATTGGAATTTCAAAAGAAAATCATGGAGCTAAACGTAAATTAGGTTCCTTATATTTGTTAATATATTATGTATTGAGCTATTTATTTGAATTGTTAGTCCTGTTGAAGTTCTATTTATATGTGATGCCATCATGTGTGAGAAATCGTCTCTACCCTAAGCCCCCTCCACCTCCCACATTAAGGGAAGTGACTGGTGACTATTTGGAAGAAAGGGAAGGGAAAGGAAGGAATTGACTAATCCCTTTTCTCAATATGCCATGTACAGAGTAGCAGAAGACCTTACAAGATCCCTTCTAGCCCTATGATTCTATGCTATGGACGCCATCATTTAGGAGCAGTGAGTGATTATAGAGGAAGCAGAAGTACCCAACTTTATGCTGATACAGTTTTCTACCAGCTCAAGGACTGGCATATTATGCTTCACTTCAGCAGTGGAGAAAGGCCCAAAGAGAAACCAGTAAATTATCTTAGTGGCCATAGGAAGGCTGAATGGCACATAGCTCTGTGACTCCCCAACTAAGCCCAATACAAACCCTAGCTCTGGCTAAGGGTAATGCTGGCCCTGGGGAGTTCTTTTAAGGCAGTAGAGGGTTGCCAGCCACATCAGAGCTAAATGCATGTTGTTTGGCTTTGATTGAGGTGCTTGGGGTTTTTGTTGTTGTTGTTTTGTTGTTGTTGTTTTGGTCTCCACTCAGTGAGTAAATACTGGAATAGATTTATTGACAGCTATTTTCAGAAAAAAAATAAAGATGTACGTTTTCTCCTTTTTTCATGAACCATAAATAGCAGCCCATCCTGTTCCTCTACCAAGCAGAGGTTGATTTCTCAATTTCAAAACAATACCAAAAGAAGAGAGAAAGCCACTGAATAATATTTCTGTTGCCTAGGAATCCATTTATGCAGAACGGATCCCATTCCGCCCATCATTTTGCATAGGCTCTCTTCTTTCTTTCTGCAGGTGGAGCATCCTGTTTTTTTAGGGGCTGTGGGATGAGCCCATCTTGCAAACATCTTCACCAAAATCAGAGAGATGCCTTTCCTGTTACAAATGAAAAGTGTTTGAAACAGAATCAAAACATCTGCTTTCTCCAGAAAGAAGCACCATCAGGGATCCGGACTACTAAAAAGACAGGGAGGGAGAGAGACATAGAAGAAACCTTCCTTGTATTAAGCCAAGACTTATCTAAAATGAGCCATAACTGATGGTTCAGAGCTGGTAATACACAACAGTCCAAGTCCTGGGAAGAACAGAGGTGAAAGGTAAAGTAACTTTTTGTAGACTGCAATAGAGAACTGGAGAGGCATGTTTTCTGAATAATAAAAAAATTGCTGGAGAAGCAAAAAGTTGGATGTTACACTGATTACTGTGATTTTCTTTGTAACTTCTGGAAAATTGAGGGACCCCTTTGATATTTCTACAAGACAGTGCTCATAAAGCAACAAAGAAGATGGATAAATTCCGAATGATATTCCAGTTCCTCCAGTCCAACCAGGAGTCATTTATGAATGGCATATGTGGCATTATGGCTCTCCTGAGTGCACAGATCTATGTGGCTTTTGATTTCAAGTGCCCATGTCTACCTGGTTACAATCTGGTTTATGGGATGGGTATCCTGTTTATGCCTCCCTTAGTCTTGTTCCTGTTTGGTTTTGTGATGAATAATAATGTTTCCATGTTGGCTGAAGAATGGAAAAGGCCCATAGGGAAACGACAGAAAGACCCAGCTGTCTTGCGTTACATGTTCTGCTCCATGGCTCAGCGAGCTATAATTGCTCCTGTAATTTGGATCTCAGTCACACTGTTGCATGGGGAATGTTTTATCTGTGCATTCAGTACTTCTGTTCCCATACACAAACTTGGAAACAGCAGTTATAGACATCTTCCTGAGAAGGAGATCAGGAAGATTTTAGCCCAGATTCCCTGCGATGATATTTACAGTGGCCAAGAACTGATTGCCAGAGAGGTGGCAACCAGGTATCTACGCTGCATTTCACAGGTAAGCAAACAATAATGAATATAGGAAACTGATTCAGGTTTGCTCGTGTAGACTAGCTTTTCCCAATATCTGTGCCTTCGATTTCTATAAGCCCCAGCCATATTATGAGGGTTGAAATGCTAGAGGAACAGGTTTAGAGAAGGGTGCTATAGAAAATTTTGTTGT